CCACAGTTTTCATGCAGCTCATACCATATTATTTTGTTGTATTATTTCCGCCACACCTTAATTGCCGGTCCCTGAAAATATTGTCTGACATAAACCGGTCCGTGGGGCAAAAAAGGTTGGGGGCCCCTGCATTAAAGGGCTGGATTTAATAGGAATAATGAAGTGTGCCAAATTCCTGCGTGTAAAAACAAAAAGAAGAAAAAAAAAAGGAATCAGAGCGGAGGGTGTCAAAGAGGATGAAAAGTCGTGTAAATTTCCCTCCTGTGACTCTGACACGCCTAAAAGTGCAACAATGCAGGAGATGGAGAACATGACTACAAAATGCTACTCGGGACGCCCTGCTGTTTGGGGCGAGAACTCAACGCCTCCAGACCAAAGACACATTCTCTTCCACGTAGGCACACGAACGGCTTTCCTTAGCGGGTGTGTGAGCCTTGTTCATGTCAACGGCAGGAGACAACAGCCTTTCGAGAGTTACCGGGTTTTAAAAATTGCATTAAAATAAATAAGTCAAAAGACTTTTGAAAGGCTTACAAAAGGTTCCTAATTGTACAGCCCCTCATACAGACAGGATTTAAACATGTGCCTCTGACAGTTCAAACTTGAACAGAACTCAATCAGAGAAAAACACATACAGATGTTCAATTAAAGGAAGGCGCTCAGTCTTGGCTCGTGTTTGCACTGGCTCACATTGTTTGCAGAGCAACAACCGTTGCCAGTGGCAACAACGTCCACTCCCGTTTCTAGGAGCCTGTTGCTATGCAACGAACAGAATACTTCCCAAACCAAACAATGCCACCACCCCCCCACCCCCCTACATGATCCGTATATCTCACACTAAGTAGAAACTTACAACAATAAACCCTATGTAAGCTATTAATTTCAGACACTGGGAGGCACGCAGCTATTCCTGTGGTGCTATTATTTAAAAAAAAAATGTGTAGACTTGGTGCGGCTTTAGACGTCATTGAAGTGGACAGGATGAGGAGTTCTCTGTGGTGGTCAGAGGCAGGAAGGAGGAATGTTTAAGTCATCAAGTGTAAAACAGTCTATTCTTCAAGGTTGCTTTGCATTCATGCCAAGTGAAAATTGACCCAAGCCAAGTCAGATCTTTCCAAAGTTGCTTGCACGAAGAGAGAATGGTCAAACAGTTTGAGGAGTTTGTTGTTTTTGTTGAAACAGGAACAGACACTTGTTGAATTTGAATACAGACACCAATGGGAGGGCATGAAGAGACCGCAGACATGTTGAGTACAGCTACAGAAGGCAACAGGTTGCTGGCGGGGAGGTTCTTTACAGTATTCATTCATTCATTTAATAACTTTCTAAATCAACCAGTGAGCACTTGGATTTTCAAGAAATCAAACACACGCGCACACACACACACACACACACACACACGACACATACATGCGCACACAAAGGGGTGCATTAAGATGATGGAGAGATTTCCACAACAGAGGCTGGTCTTCAAGTTGTCTCATTAATTCATGGCTTCGTGGCTCGAAGGGGTGCAGATGTCAGGGGAGAGTCAATCTGAACTAAGCAACCCCCACCCCACCCCAAATCTTCTACTCTCACCTCTCTATCTCAAATCATCAGCAAAGCAACCTGTCCACTCAGTCACCATGCGCACACTGCAGGCCTGACAGTCACAGCCAGATCAAACGGTTGCTATGGCGACGGTGCGTTTGCCCAAGCTCTATGCGAGCAACTTCCTCCCTCCCCCAACGCTGTACCTCTTCTAACCCTTTCCAGATTTTTATAACTGCCCTGTCGACCCACTACACCCCGCCTGGCACACCTGAGACTGGGGGGAAAAAAAATTGTGCAATCACACTGTCATGATTTGTGCACTAGCCACATCTTGACAAGACGTTGACAAAACGCTAACATGCATCACATAGCACGTTTTCTTTATTTTTTTAATTTAATACAGTCTCAGTCATTTTACCGGAGTTACCTTTTAAGTGATATTTTTTGTTACAATTTAAAACTTGAATCACTGTATAACTGATTTAACAACCATTGAAATTCATTCAGGGGAAGAAAAATGAAGAAAGAAAAACAATACATCCCTCGCTATTTCGTGGTTCGTTTATCGCAGCTTCAGTGCATCGCGGATTTTTCAAACATATTCATAAAAAAAATAAAATAAAATAAATTAAAAAATTTTTTTTTCATATACATGGAGTACAGTACTGTATATGTTGCTCTATGTGACTCGCTGTCGTTTTGCTGACTTTCGCAGCTTCTCGCGGACCGTTTGCGGACTTAAAAAAAAAATATATACCGTATTTTCACGACCATTCGGCGCACCGTATTGTTGGGCGCAGTCTCAGTAATGGGTACTATTTCTGTATTTGACACATACACAAAATGCACTGTATTATTGGGCGCAGCCAGGCATGGTAAAACATACGCCAGCTTAAACATACGGCATGCATGCATGCACGCACGCTAAAAACACGTTAGCTTGAAGCATTCGGGAGCATGCATTCACGCTAAAACATACCAGGTATGTTAGCTT